CCCCCCCCCCCCCCCCCCCCCCCCACTTTTTTCATCCGAAGCAGGAAAAAAAGACCTTTAAATAAATGTGTCCCTCCCACTTTTAAGATGGTGATTACACCCTTGCTGGATCGGCCCGATCACATGACTAAATCCGATTCTACCCAATTTTCAAAAAAATGGCCATATCTGCCACCGATACCGACACTGAGTATCTGATCGGGACATCCCTWATCAAAAATCTTTCCCACAAGTCAAAATGAGTTTAGAATCAGCAACTTAAAATTATTTGCATATTACTGATCTAATTTCAAGCCAGTAAATGAGCTGCTGTGCCCCAGGAAGGAATGAGGGAAAGCTCACTTGTCTTTGGGCCAGATAGCAACATGGTTGTACAGAAAGTAMGACAGGTGGTTGGGCACCAAATCTTTGCCAGACACTCGGACGTCCACAGGGTACCAGTACTCAAACTCCCTCCTCAGCCTCTGAAGGTGCTCCCTGGGAATGTCTGTCTTGGGGAAAGGAGACGTCTTAAAGAAGATAAAGTCCCACACGTCTCGGGTCATTTGCTCAGGTCTGTAAAGCAAAACAAAGACAGTAAGGGTGAAAACACGATTAAGMGTGGACAAAGGGATAAACTAATCCAGAATTTGTGTTTTCTACCGTTTCACAAAAAAAATACATTTAGCTTCTTTTAATAAGTAAATGAAAGCTAAATTAATCTATTACAAAGAGTTTATTCTGCCTCTGCTGTTTAAAAGCAGAGGAAAAAACAAACACAATACAAAGAGTAGAGGAAAAATGATGCACTCAGTTTAAGAGTTGTTTATTCTTGTGTGAAGATGTTTGATGCAGCCTCACTTGATGCCCAGTGGAGAGGCTCCTTGTCCGTTGAGCACACCTCCCTGGAGGAGGTGGGCTACAGTGTAATAAGCCATGTAGATTGTGGAGTCCGATAGAGACTCAATCAGCCACTGCTCGTCCCAAGGCAGTCGTGTTCCTATGGTAACCAGGGGCCGGGTACCCATACAGTCACACACAAACACAAACACACAAACACAAACACATACACACACACACACCCAGAAAAAAACACGGAAAAAGTGATAAATACAGAAAATTATTCAGACAGAACAACTGACACAATGTTTTTTGTTGAATTTGTAATCCTATCAAGCTCACCACACAAACACAAAGACACACAAGCAGCCTTGGTTTCCTTCTGTAAATAAAATGTGTTTAATTAATCTTAATTTCTACATCCAAAGAGATCAAACAAAACTAGCTGTTTTAAGGAATACCACTGCAGCTTCCAATTCTACTCATAGATTTATACATTTTTAGTCAATAAACATGTAAAAAGACAAAACAAATAAGTTTATGTGCTATCTGCTAAATTCCTGTCAATGTTTTGCCAGATGGTCGACTTTCGGCTTGAAATTAACAAAAAAATTGCAAGCTTAAATAGTAATTTATATTCAGTAGCTCTGAATCCATAATTCTAACATTTATAGGGTATTTAATGTGAAAGATCTCTGCTCTTATTCTCTCACACTTCAGAAGACCATTTGTCATGTTGCAAAACCTACATTACTTTATATTCTTCATATTTTTTCATTCTTTATATTTGATTTAGACAATCCTTCAAAGTTTTTTTCTCTTTCATTAGTTTTGTGTCTGAAGTAAAGTATAGAATGCGACTGTGTTAATCAAATCATATATATTGCATCTTAAGTACAGTGAAAATAAGATTTATTTTTCTTCTGAGGATACATTTACAAAGAATATACAATTATTTTTGGATTGGCACATAAAGCATAAAGTAAAGTACAGCAAATCTGTCTACAAGATATCCAGCTAGCATTTGTTTAAACAGGCGTGATGTGGCTAAATCTCTCCAGTAAGGCTCTACAACAAGTCTGGACTCTACAGCAGTGGCCTATAATTCCTGCCAACTGGCCTCACGCTGCATCTATTATTGAATTAACAGAGTCGGACTGTTGCTAGGCGCAAAATCATCAGTCCTCTGTCTCCATCTATAGACCAAAAATTAATCAAATGAAAAATAACTTAGGTTAAGAAAAAGAGTTGTAAAACTCGTCAAAAAACAAGAACAAGGGAAACAATTTAATAAAAAGGGTATATAAGCATGTATTATCTGTAATCCTGCAAACACTTACTGCAGAGAAAAAACGCTTACCCAGTCCGTAAGTACGAGAGCAGGCGTGTTCCTGCAGCCAGGCCAAAGTGGCCTCAAAGTTTCTTCTCGTCTCCTCACAAAATCTTGCATTTTGAAAAAGAAAACGTGCAAAACAGCATGAAATTTCCATGTTTCAATTTGATTTGTTTTCTGGTTTGTTCATAGTGCAGGTAGCAGGTAAATAAATGTTATACTTTATTCTAAACCCTAACAAGAGCTTAAAGCAGAAGACTAAAAAAAGAGCTATATTGAACAAAAAACAAGGTAGATGTCAGTGACTTACGTCTCCAACGATTTGAGGGCTTTGTTGGCCTCCTGCTTCCATTCAGAATCTCCGTAGTCTAAATACCTGTCAAACACAAAAACACCCTTTGCATAAAACCTTTCACAGACATGACTACAGCTATTTTTTCCAACAAATGTTTATTGTCCAACATAAATGGCAGCCACTAAACAAAATGTTTGTCTTGATGAAGCTGTAACACCCGTGTCACTACATTTAATATTAAGTAAAAACTTTCTTTAAAATCACTAATGAAATTACTTTTTATTGCATAACAAGTCCTGGAATCCACTCACCACTGGTCACAGAGAGCCACGACACACTCATCGCCTGAACGTGACATGACTTGTTTCTCTGGCTCCATGTAGATCATGGCCTCYTCCTGTGACAGATGAGGCAAACAATGAATAAAAAAACTACAAACTCAATTTGCTAACTTAAAGCAAATGTGCATACATGAAATGAAAGTTTAACCCAGAGTGAAAATGTAAAAAAAAATATCTTACTCTCTCAACCATCATTTTCTGGATGGGCTTCTTTACATCCTGGACCTTCTGCCCTTTGAAGCCGTCAACTAGCATGATCTGAGACAGGACATGATTTTTGTTTTATTTTAAATGTGTACTGCTGCTTTTATATAATAACTTCTGTCAACAATAAAAGTGTCATTTAGCGTGCAGCTTTTCAAAACCCAAGCAGAATATTAAATAGCTGAGTAGGAAGAACCAAAGTAAGTGTACACTGTGATCTGCTGGCAGCTCAGACAGATGATTAAGTAGAATTTCTAGTAACTGATGTCATGATGTGACAGGAAAGGACAGACAAAAAAGGAAACATAATCCTAACCCTGTATAACACACTTCCAACAACAAAAAAAAAGGTTTTACTTTGGCTCAAAACATAAAGTCAACCATAAAGAGAGTATTATGTTCTGGTTTCACACTAAAAGTTACATTCAGACACTAAAGGGACTCACCCCTTCATAAAATCCTTTCAGGTAAACCTTTTCCTTTGCTTCAGCCAGCTTCTCTTTGTCATTCTGGCTCTGGATCTTCAGCTCATCACACACCACAGGGGCAGACAGATTCCCATAGCCTGGGATTTCGATAATAGGGACCTGATGTGTGCAAATATTCATATAAAACAAAGATTAATAATCCAGTGAGCAACTGTTACTAAACGAAGACTGTTCAATGAAAGGGAAGATGGAAAACTTTAAGTAGACTTGCTTACCGGCTCAAAAGGCAACACCATCTTGTTCTCAATTCCATATTTTTCACGCAAAGCCTTTTAGAAATAAAAAAGTGATATTAGTTTTAATAAAATAATTTGTCCTGTGTACATGGAATGGTTTAAGTAACTAGAAATTCTCCTGTAATGAAATGTAACTCAAGTGTCCYCCTGAAATCTATACAGAGAATCACACTAAATATATTTAGGATTTTTCTAGAAAGACAAACGGAATCACATATTTGTAAAATACCTGTGAAATCAGTTTTTTTGTAAAAAAATATTAAAATAATAATATTTCAAAATATTTTTTTGAAAAACAACATTAATAGTGTGTTGCAAACTAAATTGCGGCAATGAGATGAATCGTTCTTGAGATATTTACATGTGAAGTAACAGGAAGTGATGTCAAAGGGGAATGTCTGCATGTGAACAGAGCGTTGCTACAACAGAGACTGTAGAGAAGAACCTGATCTTTCTTTAGATTATTTTTAATCACTATCATAAAGAGATAAAGGAGAGTAAAAGTTCAAATAATATTTTTTTCAATCCACATTATTCCTGAGGGTGCTGCTGTAGAAATGATTATGGGTAGTACTTCCTGTCAGAAGCACAGTAGCTGTAAGCTTTAGCTAACCAAAGTAGCGGAGCATGTACCGCAGTTTATTTGAAAGTAATTAGCATTTGGGTTACAAGAACAAACTCTGTTTTTGTTTTTTTACATRAAACAATTGTAGCAGTTTACAAATGGCCTTGTGGAGTTTAGGAGAACTGTTTTGTTGTTCTCGACTACAACAACCAGACTACACTGAATCAGTGGCAACGGCACAGACCCCAAAACAAAGAGTGTTCCTGTGAAAAGCCATTTGGTTTCTGTTGCCTATCTGCAGATGAGGAGTCAAGAAGAATGTGCAGGGTTCCCAAACCTTGGTTAACATCAAATTCAAGGACCTTTCAAAGACTTTCCAGTAACAATTTCCTCAAATTGATGAACGACGCGCGACGGCAATTACCTACTGCTCCCACAGATTGTTACCAATAAACGTTTAATATCATGTAAAGTCAGTGAAAAACTGAACAACACAGAAGTTGTTGAGTCAGAATCAATGAAAGAAAGCGGATTAAATGTATACCCTGCATTCATATCTACAATACACGGACAGGTAATTATGTCCTGGGAGGTTCAGCAGTTCAGTTTGGGAGGAGGGGATGTGAAAATGTCCAAATGCTCGGTGAGGACAGGAGGAGCCATCTCACCTGGGCTCAGAAAGAAAGACCTGCCCTACTCTGCTCTGATTGGGTAAAACCACGACTATGACTCACATTATTTGTTGAAAGCCACGTCAGTTTACCGTAACCCTGAGTTATCCGCTGCAACAAATGTAGGTTTTGTTTTTTTATTTTACATATTGTATTTTTTTTTTGATGAAAAACAGTCGTGTGAATAGAGAACGTCAATACCCCCAAAAAATTCAAGGACTTTCAAGGACAAGTGTAATTTTTGGCTGTTTTCACAAACTTTCCAGGACCTTGAAATCATTTTTTAAATTCACAAACTTTCAAGGATTTCAAGGACCTGTGGAAACCCTGAATGTGGCTGAACAAACAGAACGAAAAGCACCAAAACGCTGCTTCGCCTTGTTTACAAACTGCCAACAGAGGAAAATTTGCATCCAGCTTTGTGGCTCGGTTACGACAATCCACCATTATTTTTTATCTTACTCGGAATTTTAGATTATGGCTGGGATAGTCTACCAGGTTTTTCTTATTTGTCTAGAGGGATTAGGTCAGGGCTAACAGATGACAAATATTCCAGTCAGACTGGCTTCGGCTGGGATTTAATTCTGCTTTAAGGAAAAAAAGGATTTTGTCCCACGTCTTTTACCAAAACACGGCCGGCCTCATTACTGTGTAGGTTCTGATTTGTTCATCTATTCACTGTCTGAAGCAACCAAGTCATTGAAGTAGCTAAATATGCTACGTTATCTACAACTCAACAAAAAATATATATATTTATATATGTTAGTTACGCAACAAAATGGGTAAAACTGTGTGTGTTGTGCCAGGTGTTTTAAATATAAAAGTGTTTTCTTTCACTTTTTGTCTTTGAAGGATGTGTATGTCACAGGCAGAGTGGTTTATTTATAGGTCTGCAGCATCACCTGCTTCTTTTTAATGTCCCTGAGTGCAGCAATGTCATCAGGAGCATCAGATGGCACACTGGTTACAACCCCAGTACCTGCAGAAACCACACACCAAACAAAATGCACAAAACAAACTGTAAATGACTTGACTTTACTCAGACTCAACGCTAACAGATGCCCAATGCTGCCACATTTCATTAAGTCTCGCGCAGGTGTACTGGAGCAACTAACCAACTGTGAAAAAGGGAAGAAACAAACATGAGCTCATTTACTGTTGCTCATTACACTCCATCACCTTTTGGGACAGGATGACAGATTGTGTGGGAGAGATTTCTCATTATTCTCATTGAAATTCTGACATTTCGGTTTAGTGATTCAGAAATTCAATTTACAGAAATTCATCAACGGGAAACATGAATTCTCTGGAAGATACAGCAGCCCTTGAGCAATAAATACAAAGAAAATAAATAATACTTGCAAAAACAGAAATTGGTTTATTTTGTTGGTCTGTTCTACTCCAAGAAGTAAAACACCCATTCCTTTCATATCTGTGTCTATATAGCAAGTTCAAAGTTCACTTTTTGAAGAGCATTTTAGTACAATGTCTTATAGAATCTACACATAAAACCAAATAAAAAAAAGGCTTTTATATAACTTGTGTATTTTTAATGAACGGTAGTTATAGGAGGTAGAAACAAGAATAATGCAAGATTTCTATAAATACGAGCCACATCCAAGTAGGGGTAGATAGGGGTAGTTTCTTGGTGTGTTGGCGGAGTTTGGAATACATGCAGAGGCTTTTTTTGGGTGGGAGTTTAGCAAAACKATGACTGGTCAGATTGACTTGTCTTGAGGGAAAGTTAAAAGATGAAAAAATGATTGGTCCAATAGTAAAATTATTGTGAACTTGTAAATGCAATTTATTGACTTTAAATTTGGTGCAACTAGAAGCTTCCTGTCTTGAGTTTTGACTAATATTAATATTCATTTTGATGTTTTTCCAGACAGGATAGGGCTGTTTTGACAGAGCCAAATCGTTACTCGTCTCTCCACGTGTACAGCGTTCAAATCTCAAGCAGCTAGCACCTTCCTGTCTTCGGTAAAATTAATATTTATTTTCGAAAATACAGGGGCTTTCAGGCCATTTCAACCAAGCTACATGCCCCCCCAGCTGACCCCGACTTCTTCAAACCCCATCCAAAATAGTCAATCTGAACAATCACATCTTTAACAAACTCCTCGATAGATAGATAGATAGATAGATAGATAGATAGATAGATAGATAGATAGATAGATAGATAGATAGATAGATAGATAGATAATAGATAGA